AATATAACATATATTGTTATTGTATTCAGAGGTATGTTTTCTACATCTATATGAATTTATGTCCCATAATTTAGATGTGCTGACCCATGATTACCATCTATCGGATAGTTAAGATGATAAAAACATATTTTTTAAGCAAATTAAATCATTCAAATAAAATGCTTATTTTAATAGCAATCATTTTTGAAGATCAAATATTCATTTTTTCATTCATCTGACAGAGATTACTAAAGATAGTATACACAAATATAAATCAACACTGAAAACTATTTTTCAATTTCTATTGCTTAATGAGTCAACTTAAAAATAATTTCTGGCCAGATATGGTAGCTCCTGCCTGTAATCCCAGCACTCTGGGAGGCTGAGGCAGGAGGATCCCTTGAGTTCAGGAGTTTGAGACCAGCCTGAGCAAGAGCAAGACCCCCATCTCTACTAAAAACAGAAAAATTGGCTGGGCATGGTGGCAGCAACTGTAGTCCCAGCTATTCAGGAGGCTGAGGCAGGAGGATCACTTGAGCTTAGGAGTTTAAGGTTGCTGTGAGCTGTGATGCCACAGCACTCTAGCCTGGGCTATGGAATGAGACTGTCTCAAAACAATAACAATAATATTAACAATTATTATTTCTAAGATCTTTTGATAATTTAAAACCTTATACTTACGCTAGATTAAGTCAGTTAGTTGGTATTACCTATTAGTATCTAATCTAATATGTAGATTTTTAAAAAAAGAGATACGTGAAGAAAAATAAAATTTCAAGACTCTTTAAATCAATTATGCTACAGAGAATTTAAGCCCTAGAGACTCAGAGCACATTTGCAATTCTGCTTTTTAGATGATACGTTAACTCTCTTTCCTATTGTTCTTTTTCCATAAATGACTATGAGAAAGCAGAGACCAGGCATCCCCCTCTCCAGTGGATGATCCTTAGATAGTGACTCAGGGTGCACAGAGACCAAGCCTCCCCTCTCCAGTGGATGATCATTAGATAATAAGTAGGAGAGAGCAGAGACCAGGTCTCCACTTTCCAGTGGATGATCGTTAGGTAATGACTAGGACAGAGCAGAGACCAGGCATCCCCTCTCCAGTGGATGATCAGTAGATTAACCGTCTCTTTAACTGTCCTGTATTCAACTCAGATCAGAAGACCCTATGACCAGTATTAGTGTAGAATTTTAAACACACCTTTCCAGGAAAAGAAAGGCCACCTCAACTAAAAAGATCTTGTAACCACACATTATTAAGCCTTAAATAGAAAAATAATGAAATTCCCTGTAGCTCTCTAAATTTTGTGTGTACTTTTGTACTTTGAACACTGACTTTCGTTCTTTGGAATCTGTGCTTTCCAGGCAGCTGTCCTCAAACTTTGTGCTTGAACAAAGTCTTTAAACTTTATTCTTATTCTCTTGACTATTTTATGTCAACAAATAAGACAATAAAGCATGCTTTATAACTTATCTGCTAGTTGTCTTTTATTTTTATGGTTTAGAGAAGGTGTTCATATATGTGTTGGTCAATAAACATGTTAATTTTTGCCTTATTAAAAAGAGCTATGAAGAACTGTATGGCTATTAAGAAGTAAAAAATTTATATGCACAATCCCTGCTAATATACTACAAAATGCTGATGCATAATAGCTTATAATTATCCACCTCATAGTTTTCTCTGTCACATAAGAATCACTGGAATTAAAAATTAATCACATGGGGGAAATAAAAAAAGAAAAAAATTAATCACATAAATAATTTTACTATGAAAAATAGGGATATACATATAAGATAACTTTGTGTCCAAGATATATAAGATTTTTTAAAATATGATTTTGTTCTAATAGAACGTGACTATTCAAAAATGTGTAAAATGAACCTAAATAAATAAAAATATTATAAACGATTCACCAAAACCATTAATTTTCCTGGACAATACTAGATAATTATTAAAGAGCTTATTTATAAGATTAAAAAATAATAGTATCAAATGATACTGATGCAGAACTAAAATGCAATTATTTTATGTTTATTAAAGTAACACAATTTTCTTGGATTTTTGGTCTACTCTTTATAAGATACTGTAAACAAGTTTTTCTTTGTCTTTTGAGTAATAGACCTAAAGGCAAATATTCTGTATCTTATCAGAATATCTTTCTGTGCCTTATTTTGACTTTACTGTATCCTTAATTATTTTTTATTTTTTTTTTTTATTAAATCATAGCTGTGTACATTAATGCAGTCATGGGGCACACTGTGCTGGTTATATATACAATTTGAAATATTTTCATCCAACTGGTTAACATAGAATGTATAGAATAGAAATAAATCCATAAGCTCTAAAAAATATTCAGACGCTAATGCATAAAGCAAAAACTACCAAAAACGCTTGAAGGACCTGATTAAACACATTCATGATAGAAGCCATCAATGTATCTCTCTCAGGATTAAACAGACGACTGGACTAAGTTATGGTGTGTTTTATTTTGTTTGCTGTAAAGGGTTTTCCCCCAATATTTTATGTTTAAATCCACTACTAATAAAGTACATGCAAATTGAATTAACAATGAAATATAACAACAAACTCATTGGAATGGAAAAGTTATAAAGAATATTGATATTTTTTGCTGGTAGGCATAAAGACGAAAGTTAACGCTCATGCCTTGCCGGTAGAGATTCAAAATGCCCAGTATTTTTGTTACTTGTTTGTTTATGTTTTTACCAGGCAGTCTGGGAATATCTATTACCATTTGTCATTTAAATGCCTGCAAATTTTGTTGAATCACTTCCGGCTGGAATCTTTCTTACAGAAATAAAAGCACACAGATTGGCTCCAGCACGAAGCATCATGGAGAGAACAACGCGCACCGCTGATAGTTATTCCCAGGGCGCTAACTGCCAGCCACGCAGCGCGGTGTGCGGATTTCTCCTTTGCTGCTCTCGTCCACCATTCAGTTCACCTTCACTTAGTGAATACTCCGTGTCAAGAGCTAGTCTAGGTTCTGACAACCCAGTGGTGAGTAAAGACCTCTGACTTCATCCAGGAAAAGATCGTCCAGTGGAGAGAAAGCCAAGTAAAACGGACAAGTAGATCATCACTACGTTAGACTGTGGTAAAGGCTGGGACAGAAAAATAAGAGCAGAAAGGAGCTGGGGACACGATGACAGAGGGCTGGGTCACCAGTCAAAGAGGATGGCGTCAGGGGAGGGCTCTCCCAGCACTGATGGTGCCAGGAGCCGAGGGAACCAGCCCTTCCTGGTCTGGGAATCTCTCACATGGACTCTAATGGCGAACTCCCTTCTGGAAATTCACTCCTCACTGGCATCTTTTCAAGAGCTATAACAATCCTGTGGCTCAGTAATTCCTTTACTCTCCAGATACATTCAGCTCCAAAGAACTTCCTCTATCTCAACTCAGTGTCATGGCATTTCCTACAAGAAAAAGCTAGAATGGGAAGGTGTGTGTTTATGAACACGTACAACCGACCAGGCACCTCGCCAAGGGTCATACAAATTCTCCTCTCAGGTCTTCAAATCTGGTGGGATCATTAGTCTGAACTCAAGTTCCAAGGAGAAACTTGAGGGCAAGAAATAAAAATATTCAAGGCTGAGTATTATGAGGGCAGGTTAATAATAATAATAACATAAATTATTTTTAAAGAAATTTAATAAATAAAGGTCTGGAATAACCTTTTCCTCACCCCAGAAATATTTCATTTACAAATGCAGGGGCAGATTTATAACTTATTTACTTATTGTTTCTATTAAACAAGTTTAGTCTGAAAGACATAAACAAATTTACATCTAGCAAAAAATTAACCAATAAATCCAATAAGGAAAATAAGGAATATAGGGGAAGTAGTATAATTTCTTTCTGAAATTCCTAAGAAATACATGAAGAGTCATCACACATTCAAAGATAATTATTATATCAAAGCTAATAGGTTAATTATACTCCTATATTTAGTTGTACTTCTATATTAAATTGTTTAAGAACACACATAACATTCACAGCTATGCAGGTTGAGATTACAGACAATTCCTTATTGTGAAGAGAGCAACTAAGGCATTTCAGAAAATACAGATTATAGATACAGACCACTATTACCCTGTGGTCTGCTAGAGGCTGCACTTTGAGGCTGTATGAGAGACTGAATGTGTCATGTCAGCTGGATCTTCACTGCTGTGCTGTTTCTTTTATTTTAGAGCAAATAATTCAATCTTTGACAAATTTGGCCTATGATTCAATATCCTTTTTTATGTGAATTAAATACAAAACAAACGTATACAAATGAAAATAGCATAAAATTAAAAGTTTAAAAATTATATAACAAGTACCCATTTCAATTTTTATGTCCCATCAAAAAAATTTGTTTTAAATCCTCTGGAAAATTATACAAATAATGAAAAAATTCTGTAATGATCTCATGGTTCTTATTTTTCTTCTGAGTTCTGTTTACTTGATGTATTTCACAGAGGGTCAAATTAGAGACGTCAGCAAAGCAGTCTTCCAAAGGCGACCATTTGGGGAGTCCTGTTGTGTTCTCTAAGCACTCCAAAATTCTTAACCTTTATTCTCCATGTTGTTCTACTGTTTATCACTTTGATAAAAGACTGAAAAATATTCCTATTCTTTCTGTTTTACTGCAGGCTAAATACTCTCTGAAATGACATTTCTTTTTTGACCATCATAGCTGTTCAAAATGCTTTATTTCCATGAAAAAAATATCAATAATAGGGCAGTGTCTGTGGCTTAAAAGAGTAGGCTGCCAGCCCCATATGCCAGAGGTGGCGGGTTCAAACCCGGCCCTGGCCAAAAACTGCAAAGAAAAAAAAAAAAAAGAAATAAAAATATCAATAATACAGGTGTGCTTAAAAGTAAAATCAGTGCTGTGATTTTTGTTCAGTGTCTCCATAATGGATGAACACCGATGTATCTGTTTTATTCTAAGCTGTTTGTTGGGAATAAAACCCCACATCCAAGACAACTCAGTGCTGAGATTCAGAAATCTTACTGCTTCTCTCGGGCCTCAGCAGCGGTTTCGGCTTCTTGTTCTGGCTTCCACTTTCATGAAGGGCCTTGAACCAGTCCCGCAATCTGTTTGCCACTTCCCTGAACTCCAGGTCACTGCAAGCTGAAAACAAAGAGAAGAAAACACACATCTTGAATAACACCTTAGCATAATGTCAGAGCTATTTCTCAAATTATCCAAAGAACTGAAAGGTAACAATGACTGAAATAAAAACTGGTAATAATGACTGGTTGTGCTTAGCTTTTTCAAAGCTAAAAATAAATATGTGCTTCAAGATAACAAGATGCAACATGATGATAACATTGTATCTAATAATGGAATATTATTAGTGGAATTTTGTTTCCACTCTTTATTATAACAATTATAATATGAGGATTTTTATGGTTAAGCCTACACACATCACATATTTATGTGATCAATACTTTTCCCATGGTAGGTGGTGGGCCATCTGAGAAAAGAAAGGGCTGAGGATTATACATTGATTGTTGGGCGTACGTATCATAATATGCAAGGCTTTATCATTCTTCATAGTATACTCCTCATCTGCAGGAATAAGTACAGGGGTCATAAAGTTCGTGTGCAGTTTATTTATGGACACCCTGTATGTGCTATTTCTCTTTATTTAGTTTATCTGACACATTTGTTAAGTGCAAAAAAGGAAGAGTTGTATTTTTTCCATTAGGAAAGTCTATAAATATTTAAGAAAATAGTATCATGCTTCTGTTGTAAAAAGTGAAGTATTAGGAACTTTGACATTTGTAACTATTTAATATCTTTGTATTTTAAAAATATTGTTGGGCGGTGCCTGTGGCTCAGTGAGTAGGGCGCCAGCCCCATATATCGGGGGTGGCAGGTTCAAACCCAGCCCTGGCTAAACTGCAACAAAAACATAGCCAGGCGTTGTGGCGGGCACCTGTAGTCCCAGCTACACAGGAGGCTGAGGCAAGAGAATCGCCTAAGCCCAGGAGTTGGAGGTTGCTGTGAGCTATGTGACACCATGGCAGTCTACCAAGGGCGACAAAGTGAGATTCTGTCTCTACCCCTCCCCCCAAAATATATTTTATATATATATATTTAGTTATATATATAGTTATATATAACTATAGTTATATAGTTATTTGCCAGTCATTATGTTATTTAAAATCATCTATGCAATAAGCAGTAACAGAATACATTATGTTTGAGGCATTAATGCCAAAATACGGGCATTTGATTTCAGCAATCTGCTGCAAAAATACTTTTAAAATGTTAAATCACTTATTTACACTGTTTAGAGCACATTTTCCTTGCAGACTTATTTCCTGTGCATGTTGCAAATGCATAGTTTCCTCAGCTAACAAACTTTCCACTCCAAAACTCTTCTGGCTCATTTTGTTAAAAAAAATAATTTATGGAATGATATAATAATGTGTCCTATTTAACAGATGACATATACATTATATAACAATATGTAGCATGGATAACCTAACATAATGCACTGTGATATAATTCCAGAACATTTTTTAGCATTAGAAAAAGTAAAATCAAGGCTCCTCCCAGTACGTTGCATAGTAGATAACCTGAGTTAGCAAATCACGTGACACAGGACACCGGACACAGCAAAGAAGAGGCTATACCTGTCCACGAGGAAGGGGAACTAAAACTGTCATGCACAAAAAAATGAGGAATCAGAATGCCTTTGGAGTTTTCAATCAGAACACTGAAAGGCAGTCTGACAGCACAGAAATCACTTCATATTTTTAAGTGAGAAGCATATATCAAAACAAATTAGGGGGCAAGGTAAGATAAAGATAAAGATATTTTTACACCTATTAACCACCCATATCATCTCTTCCTTCTATGAAGCTACAGGATAAGGTGATATACCAGAGAAAACCAAGCTGGTGGGGACACAGGAATGAACAGCTCAGTGAGAGGTGTAGGGAGTGCCTAGGAAGACGGTCCAGGGGAATTGCTGAGAGTGTGCAGGGTGCCCAGGATAGAGGCAGACGAAAACTGTTGTTCGAGACCAGAACACACACAACTCATCACGCATGACCCTTTCATCCAGAGAAAACAATAAGCTCTGGCGGAAGCCCAGATAACATCATTTTTAGTGGTAAGATCCACCACGGCCAGGGCTGAGTGATAAGCCGGGAATGGAGTCTCAGGGTGAATGTCTGCATTCTGGTCTGGTGTCTCTAGATAAGCCATCACTTTGGCAGGTGCTGGGGCACAATCATAGCTCACAGCAGCCCCCAACTCATGGGCTCAAGCGATCCTACCACCTCAGTCTCCCAAGTAACTGGGACCCTCGGTGTGTGCCACTATACCTGGCTAATTTATTAATTTTTTGTAGAGACATGGTTTCGCTATGTTGTCCAGGTTGGTCTCAAACTTTTGGCTGCAAGAGATTGTCCACTCTGGCTTCTGAAAGTTCTAAGATGACAAGGATTATCTACAGTGTCAGAGGTTTTAACATTATTTTTTATAAGAGCTTTAAAAAGTCATTTTTTTCTGATAAAGTAAGAGATGCGCCTATTTTATAAATACACGTATCTTATAACATATATTAACAAAAATAAAAATAAAAAAATATATTCAATACTACTACCAATAGGTAGCTACTGTTAAATGTTTACTGTGTATATTTGCTATTTATATTTTGGTTAGCTTAAATTGTGTTAGATAAACAGTATTTACCTTCACTTTTTGCATTACATTATAAAATGATAATTTTCTCAGGTTGTAAAATATCTGACAACAAAAACACTGGGTAACACGTAAAATGTTTCCATGAGGGTGGCTGGCACCTGCAACAGTGCCCTTGTGGGATTATAACGCGGCTGAAACACCCCTGCTGCCCGTGACTCTGATACAACACACTGCTCGTGTTCACGGTGATGATGCTGTGAACACCCTGACTGTTGCTAGCTCTAGAAAGTCAAGTACATACAATGATGCGCAACACATAATACTCAATGAGGACAGTAAGCACGCTACTGGTTTGTGTGTGTACTATACTATGTGTCGCTGCTTTCGAGTAGAATCATCCTTATTTTTAAAAAGTGCAGTGAGTCCAGCAGCCTCTACTTCCCCTGTTTGCGTGCCTTCATTTAATCATTTTCTCTTGTGTTTCATTTAATTTCATGTTGTTTTGTTCATCAAGCCCACAAACAGTACTAACTCCACAGCTAACATTGCTGGTGAGCAGCTTATATCCATTATTTATCAGAAGCTAAAATCAAAATGAGTAAAGGTCATGAAAGTGGAAAATCTGAGATGGTTACTGCCTGCCTCAGGCACGACCCGTTCTACCACAGCTACAACCTAGAACAAGGGCAAAGTGACAAAGCTGTTAAAGGATCTGAGTTTTCTAGGTAACAAGATTAGCAGAGACTTGAGACAGCCCCATAATCAGAAAAGGGGAAATGTCTAATGATCTGGATGGAAGACCACACAAAGAAGTGTGTCCATGTTGAGATGATAAAGGCCAAAGCAAAAAGTTTGCTTGTGACACTGAAAGATAAGACAGGATCCAACTATGGTGCTGAATCCACTGCTAATTCCGGGCAGTTCAAACTATCCCAGAATAGCTGCTCCTGACGTAACGTGAGCGTGAGTGGTGAGTCTGTGTATTGATGTGAAAGCAGCTGAGGAATTTTTGGAAACTCTAGACAAGCTGATTTCGCAAGAAAATTCCCTGCTCCAGCAAATCTTCCATATAGGTGAAAACTTTCTACTCTGGGATCGGGTGTCCAAAGGACTTTCATGTGTCAGGAGGTCAAGTCAATGCCAGGTTCAAGACTTTTAAGGACAGAGTAACAGTCTTGTGTGGGGGTAAAATGACAAAGTACAAATCAAAGCTCTGTGATTGGGCACAGTGAGAACCTCGGGGCCCACAAGAGTAGTAAGAAGTCAGGGGGACCCAGCCCCCATCCATGGTGCCCCAGCCCCCCCATCCAGGGTGCCCTCCTGAATTGCTCTGTCAGAAAAATGCAGAAGCTCTGTTTGGAGATCTTTGCTTGTTGCTGATAATGTTCTAAACATCCTCCTTTTACTGGCGACCCTTGTTGCAGTACGAAAGTGATGTTTTTCTCTCCAAACACCAACTCTTTGATCCAGCTAATGGGTCAAAGAGAGAGAGCAGCTTCTATAGCTACTTCCCCAGGAGGATCCCTGCGGAAGGTCAAGCTGTGGTGAAGACCCTGAGCAGACACTGGCACAACTCTGGACGGACAGCAAAGCCTATGACCACATCGGGAGCCATGCCTGGGCCTGAGGTGGGTTACCAAGGGCTATCTGAACGTCATCGGGAAGAAGATACTCCAGAGGTGCGTCCATCACCTTAAATGATTTCTCAAGGAAAAGAAGCCTGCTAGACTCAGTAAGTCTGTGGCTGAGACGGCAAACAGCCACAGATGAGGATGATGCCAGGAGGCCCCAGATGGACCCGCTCACGGAGCACTTGTTGGAAGTGGGACAGGAAAGTATAACTGAAGGAAAGGTAGGAAAAAAGGAAACTGAGGTGAAGACAAAGTACCGTTAAGAAGTTTTACTCCGAAAGGTTTAGCAGAAGCTTTTGCAGACCTCCACCTGCTCCTCAAAAACCCTGAAAACGTGGAAGGAAGGAGCAAGATGGCAGCCGGGTAACAACTTCCTTGCAACTGGGCATGGAGAGTCTGGGGAGAGAAGACTCCAGGCATCTCTGGCTGATGGGATCTGCCCAGAAACATCCTTTTGGGGACACAAGGAGTCAGCGTGAGACTTCATGAGGAGGACAAAAGCAGTGGAGAACTGGCAGTTGGTTGCCAGTTTGTTTGGTTAAATCCCACCGGCAGCTGTAAGTTCAGCAGCAGTGAGACAGCGAACTGGAAAGGCCTTACCTGTGAGCTGTTTCATTTTTTTTGGACTTGGCACTCACCTGAACTACCTTGGGAGAACTTGGGCAAGAATTCAGAGGACTTTAAGTGTTGTCTAAGGCCCCAGACTGAGTTGCTGAGCCAGACAGAGCTAATAGTGTTCGGCTGTGGACCACAAAGAGCCACTGTGGGAGAACTGCCCCAGCAAGCTCCACCCTCAGGATCTCAGAGCAAAGACTGGGAGGAGTGAGTAATCTAGTG